GGTCAAAGTTAAGGCAATTAAAAGACATTCAAGTGCAGTTAAGCCCATGCTAACACATAAAGGTATGAGGTTAAGAATGCAGTTTTGTTTAAACCATTTAATTCCTCATACAATTCCATCCAACCCCACTTTTTATGATTTTACCGAGTATGTGCATATAGATGAAAAATGGTTCAATCTAACCAATGAAAAGCAGAATGTGTATATGCACCCCGATGAATGCGATCCGTTTAGGGCTGTCCAAAGTAAAAGATTCATACCAAAAGTTATGTTCCTAGCTGTTGTAGGGAGGCCTGTTTTAGGGAAAAACAGAGAGGTGTTGTGGGATGGCAAGATCGGGGTTTTCCCATTTACTTATCAAGATACAGCTAAAAGAAACAGCAAAAACAGAGAAAGGGGAACTCTACTGACAAAACCAATTCTTAGTGTCACAAGAGAGGTCATAAAGCAATTTATGATTGAAAAAGTATTGCCGGCAATCAAACTGAAATGGCCAGCAGGAGCTAGTAAACGCATTATCATTCAACAAGATAACGCAAAACCACACATTGAATGTCATGATTTAGACTTTGTTGCTGCTGCAACAGAAGGTGAATGGGCTATTGAGTTAAAATGTCAGCCACCAAATAGTCCTGATCTTAATGTGTTGGATTTGGGATGGTTTAGGGCTATTGATGCACTAAAGCATAAAAAGGGTGCAAGAACTTTAGTTGAATTAGTGCATCATGTTGAACAATCATTTTATGAGCTGGACCCGATATATCTTAATCGAGTGTGGTTGACATTGCAAAATGTTATGGTGGAAGTGTTAAAATGCAAGGGACATAACAAGTATAAATTGCCTCACATGGGAAAGGAAAGGTTAGAGAGACTAGGCATGTTGCCTAATGCTATTTCAGTGGACCCTATGTTGGTTGAGGAAGCTATTGCTTATATGGAGGTACCAATGGAGACAGTACTAACAGAAGTTGAACAAACTGAGTTACCAATGGATCCTATGTTGTAGACTGTTTTGCTTAACATGCCGTGTTTAACGGGTAGACTGTTTTTGAAGGGTTTTAGATTGTTTTTTGCTCACCTAGCCCATTCACCTTAGTTTTTTTTGCTTAACATGTAGTGTCTACAATCAGTGCTTAACAAGAAGTGTTTGTTCAAATGAGTGTTAGTTTGTTTTATTTATCTGTTTAAATTACTATCTGTGCAAGTATCTTCTTAAACTTAGTTTGTTTAATTTTATAATGAATCTTAATTACAATAGTTATAAGTGAAATTATAGATACAGTTGTAGGTTTAGTTATAGTTTACAGATTGTGTTTAAAAACTAAAACTATATTCATGTGAACAAAGTGAATTTTGCTTTGATTTGATGGAGTAAAATTTGGCATTTTGAATGTGTCTAAGAGTTCATTTTTACATAAGAGAAGTGGCAGTAAAAGGTTGAGAGTAATGAAGGTATAAAGATTGACTCCAAGATTCTAGTTTAAAATCACTTCATATTCTTGCTTTGATATGGTAGCACAATGAATTAAGTATTGCATGATAATCCAAACTACTCCCTATAAAAGAATAAACCAACAAAAAATCCTCTAACAAATGAAGTACTCCGTAAGATATTTCAGTGGGGGTGAGATTGCATCAAACAATAGGTTTTCCAATAACAGAAATATTAAGGAGTAATTTAACCTACCTGGAATGGATGAATCTCAAGGCTGAATTTTTGAATCGGGAACATCTTCATCTTCTTCGCAGGTCACCATCATCTTCTTCGCATCTCACCATCTATTTTCTTTGTCTTCTTCCTCCGGATCTGGAATTTCGCAGGTCATGTTTGTAGGCTCTTCCGGAAGATTGTGGTCACCATCTTCGTATTTTGCAAGAGCATGTCATGTTCCCAGTCTCTTCCGGATCTGTTATCTATGGAGTATTTCACAGTTGATTCATTAATCGTAGAAATAAGACTCCACAAAGAAAAACTGAAAATAAAGTTAGGAGAGATTAGAGAGTAAAAAAAGATGCCTGACAAGGGAGGTGGTTCGCTGGGTTTCACTGTACAGGCACATGTGCATTAGCAACTCCGTATAATTTTAAACTTTAGGGTAATAAAGTCTTTTAGCATACTTTTGTGTGTTGAAAAAGCTAATTGGCAAAGTCCAACAGGACAACTTAAAAAGGGAATATGGCAAAGTCCAACGGGACGGAGGGAGTATTATTATTATTATTATTATTATTATTATTATTATTATTATTAGCTCCGATCTATTTTTCCAACGAGATATAATACGCTCCAAACGGTTAAACACACAGCAAGATATGAGTGTCACAAATACTTAGCCTTATCTCTACACTACTAGAAAAATGTCTTACATTGACACTTCGTTAATGACACTATTCGATTTAGTGTCAAAAACTGACGATATAACCGAAAGTTTACACATAAGTATCACTGATTTCTGACACAATAATATCACCATTCATAGTGACGCTCGAGCTTAAAAAAACGGGGCCATATTCATAATTTATTGAAATGTTTTTTTGAAATGGGGTCTATTTTCTAAATTTTTAAAGTTTATATTTGTAAATCTCAAACTCTTAATTGACCCAGCCCTTATTCTCCTTAACCTAGGTCTGCACTCTCCCGTGAAGAAGAGCAGCGCTGCAGCCGTAAGTCCTTAATCCACTACATCGAAGGTAGCAACGACAAGCTGACGACCTCAAGCTTGAGGGATAGGCGGCAATAGCGGCTTCAAGAGGATGAACTTCTGGAGATGAGCAAGATTCTTTAGCACTCAGCTTCGTTACTAATCTTCTGGCCGGCAGAATTAATCTTCAGCACTCCGGCAACGACGCCACAAGGGTATTTTAATGTTGTCTAGGTTCAATGGACAAAGTTAGTATATTTTAATGTTGTCTAGGTTTATTTTGGTCTTACTCCGTATTTGATTTTTTATCTGATTATGAATGATGATTTTCTCTGGTCTGGTGGAAGTTTTCTAGTTAAAAAAATTATTTGAATCTCCATATCTACTTACTATGCACCTCAACTTTCTCTCCTAACAGATATGAATTCCATGAATATTCGGTTCGATGTTCTAGATTCATTTTCTTTTGTATTTCTCAATTTTTAAACAAAATTATGTTTCATCCTTCTCTCATGGGGATATTGTACTTTTCATGTGTTTAGCGGTCCACAAATCATATCAGATTTGCTCCGGATCTGGTTTGGTTCGCCAGTGGAAGTATATAAGGGTGCCCTGTATTGTCGTTTTTAATTTTTTCCTCTTTCTATCTTGAATATCAACCATTATCTTCCCCATTTTCTATCTCAGTTCAAGCCGACAAGAAACACTTACCCCTTCGCTTCCATCTTGTAAGTTTCTATCTATTCTTTCACTCTTTCATGTATTTTACATGTTTTCATTTTCATTAAATCTTATGAATATAGTTAGTTCTAGAGTTGGACATTCTATATCTACATGACTACATACATGTATGTGCAAAGCAGATTCTAAAATCTTAAATATGTGTGTATAAACTTTTTCAAACAGAAACATTAGGAGTTTCTTTCCATTGTAAGTTCGTGATTTATCAATTTTCAGAATTTATTGTGTAGGTAAACTAGTTTTTGCTTAACTAGATCAACTCATTGAAGGTGATGTTGTGTAGGTTTTTGTTGAACTGAAGTGTTTCATTTGTGAAATGATTTGTGTCAAAGATGAAATCATTCTTTTGATTCTTGGTATATATGATCTCTTTCTTCATTTTTATTTTTATTGCTCTTTACCAATTCTTCTCCATCCCTTAAGTCTAAAGAATTGAGGTGACTCTTTGATGTGATTATAAATTTCTCCGGTTCTACATTACACATTCCAACGTTTGTAATTGCTTTCTCAAGCAGCTTGATCAGACTTTGATACCTAACTTAGATGTATTTGACATTCAATTAAAAGAAGTTTATCTAGATTGGTGTTGTTCGAAGAACCAACAATTACATACTGTACTACTAGGTAAAGTTTTAGTTAAAAAGTTTATGCAATTATCGTTTTTTACAATGCAAATAAGTTGTTAAGTTTGACATGTTGAAATTTACTCTCTGCTTTTTCATTGTAGGTCAGTTCAACTAATTGATAATCCTTGAACCTGTTGCGAGAGTGCTTTAATAATCCCAATGTTGAATAATATTTGGATGATACCCTGGAACATATGTGCATCTTATGGTCAGTTTGTAGATCAACCTTACATGTCTGTGGTTGTTTTGCATGAAGCATACCTAATGGGTAGTCGGTTCATTTTTTTGGACAATTTCCATTGCAACTTTTTTTTTGAAGTACACCTCTTTAAAATGCGGTGATTATACCTTTATGTATGCATTCAGGTTGAGTTAGTGCTTATGCTCTAGTGCTACTCCTTTGTATTGGTGTACATTTAATAAATTACAACAAGAGTTTAAGTACTGAAAAATAGAGCATGCCATTTTTATTTATTCATTGAGTTGGGAATGTATCAAGTTGAATTGATAACTTCTTGATTATTTATGCCACTGTATAATGATGGGGCTTAATAACATAGAAATGATACCAGCCAGTGAAACTGGTGGAATCAGAGGTAAAGCATTAAAGACTATTTTTGTGAATACATGAGTAAAGGTGGTGTTGGAAAATCTTCAACTGTGAATTCAATCATAGGGGAAAGAGTAGTTACTGCTGGAGCTTTCCAGGTATCTACTTAGTGAATTAAATAGATAAGAATTAAAAAAATAACTTTCAGACTTCTCCTTTAGTTGTAGGAAGAAACTCCAATTATTTCAGCACTTCTTACATGCTATCTTAGCTTCTTTGTTTTTATGTTGCAGCAGGATGTTTATTGGTTTTCTACTTTTTGTGTCAGGAGCACATGTCTTGACAACCGGAAAAGGGGAGTATTAACATTTTTGTTCCTCCAATATTCTCAAGATTGTGTTCACACTAATTTCAAAGCCTATAAGTAGTTACTTTCAGGTCCGTAAACAATGAAGGCCCTTATGATAGTTCAAATGATACCCAAGTTGTAAATGTTCAATCTGCCAATCCTATAGCCACAATAGCCCCAACAAATTGTGACATGAATTGTGCAACTATTCTTGAGAAGGAAACGACTAATACCTCTGCTCGCCAACGCCAACGTGCCTTCAAACATGATGAACCCTCGGTGGCTACCTGTAACAAGGCGGTAACCAGGAATGTAGCTCATGATCTGATTACGTGTGTCCAAACCGGAATTCAAGATCTTCTTTCTAATCCTAGCACTTCAGATACTACACCGGCCCCAAAACTGTCCTGTGATGAAATCATTTCTGAGGATAGCCTATTTTTAACTCTTTCTGTTTCATGTAATAAAGTAATCCCACCTGTGAGAGTTTTTAATTTAAGAGGTTCAATAGGTCCAGAAAAACTCTCATTCTCACATTTTTTTGCTTATACTTGACCGTGGAGATGCCAAGTGTACTGCGTATGGCAGCTGTATGCAATGTCCAAATTGTATGATTTTAGTTATTATTATAACATATCCTAGCTTATTAGTAATTTAGTAACATATACAGCAAACCTACTCAATGAGTAAGTTGAAATTTTATTTATTGAGATAAGTGTGTTAAGAATGTAGTTTTCACTAATTAGGATTGTCTGTAGTATGATGATTGAAATAGTTATCATTATTATTTTTACAGACTTCAGTGACGGTGTGATGAACAGTGATAGCTGGATTTTTGCTAAGCTCGTATGCATCATGGCGGTTAAACAAATGGCTGGAAGGACATAACATTTGGATGCTTGTGATGTACTTTATGTGTTTCCAGAACCTATGTAATGACTACTTTATGTTTGCAGCCCTATGTAGCTAGACTAGAATTCAAGAATATTGGTATTTTGGATTTTTCTTTGTTTCCAAGAACAAGTTAACTTATCTTTGAATTTTCATGTTCACTTTGATTTGAATCTAAATGACAATTAGTTAGTTATGGGATACTTTGATTATGAATTTGTTTTATATTTGTCTACAAGCTTAAAAATTAAACTTTTAGGTGGATATGGTGGTACAAAGAAAGTATTAAAATTGTTCAATAGTTGATACTATAGTATCATAAATCTGGATGGCGCAAGAGTATCATAGGTTTTTGTAACATTAGTGATATCACTAATTTATATGATATCAAAGTGTCGTTAAGTATAACAATGCAAATGTATCACTATATTTTATGATACTAACGTGTCACAATTTACTGATACTTTTTAGTGACACATTTTTTAGTGTCAGAGTTCCAACCATTCGTTGACACTTTTCTGGTGTCACTAAAACTTTTAGTGACACTAATTTAGTGTCACTATAGACCATTTTTCTACTAGTGCTATGATTTAGCGTTTTCAGCGAAAATAGAGCACTGTTAGCGTAAATAAAAATTATTTTAGTAATTAGGCAATCATCCCTTGATATTTTGAAACCAGCGCCCAAAGACAAGTTCTAGAACTCGGTAAGATCTTTCCAATGAGATATTAAATGCTTTCAATGGCACAAAATAGAGCAAGATATGATCGCATCAAATTCTACACGAGTTCGGAGTGAATTCAGAAACATTTGTGAATATCTGGTCAATCTGTAACTTTTAATTAATTCATTGTAAATGAAGTTAGAACAATAGCTTTAGAACTCCGATCTATCTTTCCAACAAGATATAATACGCTCCAAACGGATAAACACACAGCAAGATATGAGTGTCACAAATACTTAGCCTTATCTCTATGATTTAGCGTTTTCAGGGAAAATAGAGCACTTTTAGCGTAAATACAGTGTATTTTAGTAATTAGGCAATAATCACTTGATTTTTTGAAACCAGCGCCTGAAGACAAGTTTTAGAACTAGGTAAGATCTTTCAAATGAGATATTAAATGCTTTCAACGGCACAACAAAGAGCAAGATATGATCGTATCAAATTCTACACGAGTTGGGAGTGAAATCAGAAAACATTTGTGAATATATGGTTAATCTGTAACTTTTAATTAATGCATTGTAAATGAAGTTGGAACAATAGCTTTAGAGCTCCGATCTATGTTTCCAACGAGATATAATATGCTCCAAACTGATAAACACTCAGCAAGATATGAGTGATACAAATACTTAGCCTTATCTCTATGATTTAGTGTTTTCAGCGAAAATAGAGCACTTTTAACGTAAATACAGTGTATTACTATTTTTATTACTGTTATTATTACTATTATTATTACTATTATTATTATTATTTTTCTTATTATTATTATTCTTATTATTATTATTATTATTTTTATTATTATTATGATTATTATTATTATTATTATTATTATTATTATTATTATTATGATTATTATAATGATTATTATTATGATTATTATTATTATTATTATTATTATTATTATTATTATTATTATTATTATTATTATTATTATTATTATTATTATTATTATTATTATTATTATTATTATTATTAGTAGTAGTAGTAGTAGTAGTAGTAGTAGTAGTAGTAGTAGTAGTAGTAGTAGCTCCGATTCATCTTTCCAACGAGATATAATACGCTCCAAACGGTTAAACACACAGCAAGATATGAGTGTCACAAATACTTAGCCTTATCTCTATGATTTAGCGTTTTCAGCGAAAATAGAGCACTGTTAGCGTAAGTACAGTGTATTTTAGTAATTAGGCAATGCTCCCTTGATATTTTGAAACCAGATCCTGAAGACAAGTTTTAGAACTCGGTAAGATCTTTCCAACGAGATATTAAACGCTTTCAAAGGCACAAAATAGAGAAAGATATGATCGCATCAAATTCTACACGAGTTCGGAGTGAAATCAGAAACATTTGTGAATATATGGTTAATCTGTAACTTTTAATTAATGCATTGTAAATGAAGTTGGAACAATAGCTTTAGAGCTCCGATCTATCTTTCCAACGAGATATAATACGCTCCAAACGGATAAACACACAGCAAGATATCAGTGTCACAAATACTTAGCCTTATCTCTATGATTTAGCGTTTTCAGCGAAAATAGAGCACTTTTAGCGTAAATACAGTGTATTTTAGTAATTAGGCAATCATCCCTTGATATTCTGAAACCAGCGCCTGAAAAAAAGTTTTAGATCTCGGTAAGATCTTTCCAACGAGATATTAAACAATTTCAACGACACAAAATAGAGCAAGATATGATCGCATCAAATTCTACACGAGTTCAGAGTGAAATCAGAAACATTTGTTTATATATGGTTAATTTGTAACTTTTAATTAATGCATTGTAAATGAAGTTGGAACAATAGCTTTAGAGCTACGATCTAACTTTCCAACGAGATATAATACGCCCCAAACGGATAAACACACAGTAGGATATGAGTGTCACAAATACTTAGCCTTATCTCTATGATTTAGCGTTTTCAGCTAAAATAGAGCACTTTTAGCGTAAATACAGTGTATTTTAGTAATTAGGCAATAATCCCTTGATTTTTTTAAACCAGCGCCTGAAGACAAGTTTTAGAACTCGGTATGATCTTTCAAACGAGATATTAAACGCTTCCAATGGCACAACAAAGAGCAAGATGTGATCGCATCAAATTCTACACGAGTTCAGAGTCAAATCAGAAACATTTGTGAATATATGGTTAATCTGTAACTTTTAATTAATGCATTGTAAATGAAGTTGGAACAATAGATTTAGATCTCCGATCTATCTTTCCAATGAGATATAATACGCTCCAAACGGATAAACACACAACAATCTCTATGATTTAGCGTTTTCAGCGAAAATAGAGCACTTTTAGCGTAAATACAGTGTATTACTATTTTTGATACTATTATTATTACTATTATTATTATTATTCTTATTATTATTATTCTTATTCTTATTATTATTATTATTATTTTTATTATTATTATTATTATTATTATTATTATTATTATTATTATTATTATTATTATTATTATTATTATTATTATTAGAACTAGGTAAGATCTTTCAAACGAGATATTAAACGCTTTCAACGGCACAACAAAGAGCAAGATATGATCGCATCAAATTCTACACGAGTTCGGAGTGAAATCAGAAACATTTGTGAATATATGGTTAATCTGTAACTTTTAATTAATGCATTGTAAATGAAGTTGGAACAATAGCTTTAGAGCTCCGATCTATCTTTCCAACGAGATATAATATGCTCCAAAATGATAAACACTCAGCAAGATATGAGTGTTACAAATACTTAGCCTTATCTCTATGATTTAGCGTTTTCAGCGAAAATAGAGCACTTTTAGCGTAAGTACAGTGTATTTTAGTTATTAGGCAATGCTCCCTTGATATTTTGAAACCAGATCCTGAAGACAAGTTTTAGAACTCGGTAAGAGCTTTCCAACGAGATATTAAACGCTTTCAACGGCACAAAATAGAGAAAGATATGATCGCATCAAATTCTACACGAGTTCGGAGTGAAATCAGAAACATTTGTGAATATATGGTTAATCTGTAACTTTTAATTAATGCATTGTAAATGAAGTTTGAACAATAGCTTTAGAGTTAAGATCTATCTTTCCAACGAGATATAATACGCTCGAAACGGATAAACACACAGCAAGATATGAGTGTCACAAATACTTAGCCTTATCTCTATGATTTAGCGTTTTCAGAGAAAATAGAGCACTTTTAGCGTAAATACAGTGTATTTTAGTAATTGGGCAATCATCCCTTGATATTTTGAAACCAGCGCCTAAAGACAAGTTTTAGAAAATGGTAAGATCTTTCCAACGAGATATTAAACGCTTTCAGTGGCCAAAATAGAGCAAGATATGATCGCATTAAATCTACACGAGTTCGGAGTGATATCAGAAACATTTGTGAATATATGGTTAATATGTAACTTTTAATTAATGCATTGTAAATGAAGTTGGAACAATAGCTTTAGAGCTCCGATCTATCTTTTAAACGAGATATAATACGCTCCAAACGGATAAACACACAGCAAGATATGAGTGTCACAAATACTTAGCCTTATCTCTATGATTTAGCGTTTTCAGCGAAAATAGAGCACTTTTAGCGTAAATACAGTGTATTTTAGTAATTAGGCAATCATCCCTTGATATTCTGAAACCAGCGCCTGAAAACAGGTTTTAGATATCGGTAAGATCTTTCCAACGAGATATTAAACAATTTCAACGACACAAAATAGAGCAAGATATGATCGCATCAAATTCTACACGAGTTCGGAGTGAAATCAGAAACATTTGTTTATATATGGTTAATTTGTAACTTTTAATTTATGCATTGTAAATGAAGTTGGAACAATAGCTAAAATAGCCTTATCTCTATGATTTGGCGTTTTCAGCTAAAATAGAGCACTTTTAGCGTAAATACAGTGTATTTTAGTAATTTGGCAATAATCCCTTGATTTTTTGAAACCAGCGCCTGAAGAAAAGTTTTAGAACTCGGTATGATCTTTCAAACGAGATATTAAACGCTTTCAATGGCACAACAAAGAGCAAGATGTGATCGCATCATATTCTACACGAGTTCAGAGTGAAATCAGAAACATTTGTGAATATATGGTTAATCTGTAACTTTTAATTAATGCATTGTAAATGAAGTTGGAACAATAGCTTTAGAGCTCCAATCTATCTTTCCAACGAGATATAATACGCTCCAAATGGATAAACACACAGCAATCTCTATGATTTAGCGTTTTCAGTGAAAATAGAGCACTTTTAGCGTAAATACAGTGTATTACTATTT